TAATTGTCCTCCCCTGCCACAATAAGCAACAAGGCCATCGCGCTGCTGTGACGGCTTACTGCCAGGCCGATAATGCTACAAGGTGTTCTGTAATGAGGAAATCTTGTAACAGTTAGAGAAACAGAGATTCAATTTCCCATGATGCTTTGGGGATTATAAATGTTAAAGAGAACTCCAGACAGAATAAAAGTTGTCCGTGAACTTGTGCAATGTCAGGTCATGGGCTCTGGGAATCCCGTTTGCGTTGCGAGTCATTGACGTTCCTGTGCTGAAGGTTACAAATGTCCATGCAGCCTTCAGCGAGGTGGGAGGGGTCACTGTAGCGAGTGAGATACTTCCAGCACTGAACTTTGCTGGATCGTGCTACATTGTGATACATTGTGGGGACATTTATCAAAGGGATTGCAACAGTTTTAGCCTCTTAGATCATTTTTATAATGTACACATCTGTCTTTGAACATCTGACCCTGTTTTGACCAGAACTTGCACTAGTTATCCCATTGCCCCTGTTTTGTGTCTGTTTTACGAAAGTTTGCAACTGTTCACATCTGCACTTGTCCTGCGACTGTCTAAAACTGGAGCATCACCTAACAAAACAATCACAACTTAAAAGAGAACTATGGGGTAAGTGTTTTTCCCCATAGTTCTCTTAAGGATCACGGGAGGACATATACCAACCTCCTCCCGTGACCCAAAGCTCAGTGTATCGCGAACTACAGCTTGCGGTATACTGAAACCGCCGTAGCTGGGACGGATCCCGACATTACTGTTGAGATCCACCCAGCTGCGTGAGTGACAGCGGGCTTTGCCTATCTAGAGGCAGAGCCAGCTGTGCCCGCCCCCTCCCTCCTCAGTTGCTCCAGTCAGCGCTGGAGGATCGGAGCGGGGAGGGGGGAATCCCTGCAGGGAGCCGTGACTGACAGTCACGGCTCTCTGCAGGGAGATGATCGAGAAGTGAGCGAGTGACGGTATGTGTTCGCTCACTTCCCGATCTATTGAGCCGACCTGTGACAGTTTCATTGTCACTATGAGGATGAGTGATTTTTACTCACCTCATAGTTCTCCTTTAAGGCTCCATTCACACCTGAGCAGATGCGTATTTGGCTGTATACGCGTGGAGCTGCTCTACACAAGGAATTCAATGCACTTCAATGTGCATCGTTCAGACCATTGCGGGGGCTGCACAGTACTAACCTGCGTGGCCCCCCCAAATAGTCCAAGCACGATAATCCGGCAGATTCCGCATGTTGGCGGCTATTTAATAGTTGCAAACATGTGCCATCTGTGCGGATTTAAAATATTAGCGTTTTCGCCTTGCATGGTCTTCCACGCGGAAAACCGTGCGGGAACCGCAAACGCTATGTGTGAATGCAGCCTAAGAAGTCCCCGTGACCACTTCTTCAAGAAGCGACAGTTACGTTTTTTGCCTGGAGTGACGAGTCTTCTTTCCTGGAGACCATTTAACCTCATTTATGAACAACGTTACACTGGCAACATAAATCTGGTGCAAAGGGCATCAAATATATTCCATGCAAGTTAGGGTAAGAGATAAGTATTTTTCTCCTAACACATCATTGGCTGACTTTTATGTCAATCACTTGCTTGTCATAAATAAAACATGCTTGCCTAAATCACTAATCTGTAGTTCTTCCCTCTTCCTCTCTAGTGCTGCTGTTACACTGCAATATTATATTATATCCAAACAACAGAGCATCCTCTTCTACCCCAAACAATGGTTGGTGTCAGTAATACATTTCTAGTTCCAAGCTGTATCTTCCCCCTTCTTCTCTTGTGCTCTTGTTACATTGTATCATGTTTGCTGTATAGGATAAGACATGAGCATTCTTCTTCTAACACAGCATTGGCTGACTTTTATGTCAATCACTTATAAGCAACAGAACATCCTCTCCTACCTCAAACATTAATAGTCGGTGTTCCAAGCTGTATCTTTCCCTTTCTTCCCTTGTGCTTTTGTTACTGTGTATCATGTTCTGTATATAGGGTAAGACATGAGTATTCTTCTCCTACAGCATTGGCTGACTTTTATATCAATGACTTATCAGCTATTGACTCAACCAGTCTGTATATCTTCCCTCTTCCTCCCCAGTGCTTCTGTTACACTGTATTATATTATAACCAAACATCAAAATCAGTGGCGTCACAAGGGGGGTGCGGCCCGCACCCGGGTGCCACCATTGGAGGGGTGACACTAAAATGACTCACAGTCATTTCGGTGTTACCCCGCTCTGAAAAGTCGGGCGTTCGGTCCAGTATCAGGAGAGAGGAGGGGACCCGGCGGCATACCTTATCCCGCTGGGTGACTGTCCCCTCCTCTCTCTGCCTGATCGATCAAAACTACGAACTTATCGAGTTGTGGGACCGCATTACTTCCGGTTTCCTCAGAACTACGAGGTTTTTAAACAAAACATGTTGTGCACGAGCGCCATCCACGGCATTGCCCTATAGACATAGACCACAGCAATAAAGTAATACAATGATGTAGGATGACAGTAAGCCAGCGCGTTCTTTATCTCAGGTGCCCCACTCAAGCGGCGGCCATATTGAGTGGGGCACCGGAGATAAAGAACGTGCTGGCTTACTGTCATCCTACATCATTTTATTACTTTATTGCTGTGGTCTATGTCTATAGGGCAATGCCGTGGATGACGCTCGTGCACAACATGTTTTGTGTTCGCACTTTTGACACATTACCGGCGTCCATCACCAAGATGGCCGCCGGCAGGTATCAGAATACTGGCGCGCGTGCGTGGTAACGTCACGCGCATGCGCAGTGACGCCTCAGCCGGGTGACACTCGGTTACCGCTCCGGGTGTCACCCAGCCTCGGGACGCCCCTGATCAGAATATCCTCTTCTTCCTCAAACAATAATGGTCAGTGTTCCAAGCTGTATCTTCCCCTTTCTGCCCTTGAGCTCTTGTTACATTGAAACATGTTCAGCATATAGGGTAAGACATGAGTATTCTTCTCCTAACACATCATTGGCTGACCTTTATGTCAATCACTTATGAGCCATTACTCAACCAATCGGTAGCCTTCCCTCTTCCTCTCCAGTGCTTCTGTTACACTGTCTTATTATTATAACCATACAAACATCCTCCACTCCCTCAAATATTACTGGTTGGTGTTAGTAATACATTTCTAGCTCCAAGCTGTATCTCCCTCAAAACAATAATGGTCAGTGTTCCAAGCTGTGTCTCCCCTTGTGCTCTTGTTGCATTGTATTATACTCAATATATAGGGTAAGACATGAGTATTCGTCTCCTAACACATCATTGGCTGACCTTTTATGTCAATCACTTATGAGCTATTAACTCAACCAGTCTGTAGCCTTCCCACTTCCTCCCCAGTGCTTCTGTTACACTATATTATTATAACCAAACAACAGAGCATCCATTTCTCCCTCAAGCATTACTGGTTGGTGGCTGTAACACATTTCCTAGTATCAAGCTGTATCTTCCCCTTTCTTTCCTTGAGCTCTTGTTACATTTTATCATTGTCTAAAGGTAGCATGAGAAATGTGTATTCCTTCTACCTTCTG